CTTTCGGTTTACGACTTGGCTTTGTTCGCTCCTGCAAGTGGGTTCACTCACTAGTTCGGTCCCTATTACCGAACTCGTAACATAAAGCTCCATGATCTCCACAAAGCTGCCACTCAATCTAGTGATACTGTAACACCTAACATGTCATGGGCTGAATCATGCTTGCCCCCGCCCAATCTCCTGATAAAAAGAACATTCCTGAAACACATATGCAAAGGTCTCCACCAAAACAGGGATTTCTGGAGCAATATGAGTCATGAGTGAGTGCTGAAACAAGATATCACGAACTAGCAAGTACTACGGGTGGAGTGGTGGTAGTGTGCCTAAGGATCTGTTCCTGTAGTTGGAAGGTTGCTGGTTCAAATCCTGAGGCTGGCAGAGGAATCTGATTCTGTTGGGCCCCTGAGCAAGGCCCTTAACTTTAACTGCTCCAGGGGTGCTGTACAATGGCTGACCCCAAGCTTCTGTCTGTGTCTCATGTCTCATGTGGAAAGATAAATTTCTAAGGGAAGAAATTGTATATGGCTAATAAAGTAATCTTATCTTAACAGTATGTGCACTCAACCAGGATGGATATTTTCAGTAATTTTATAAGCTTGGCGGCTACATCCAAGGGCAATTACATGTGGGACCAGTGACACCACAATCGCCACACCAACCTTCAAAGCTCCTTGTATCAGGTACTGTGATCCCTACAAGGATCTGTCCTTTTTCTTACAGGATGCTGCAGTCACCGCATCTTTCATCACATGTACAATATATCACCTTGTCCTTACACTGCAGACACACCGCTTCAAGGACTTCTCACACAATGTGACGTCAATAGAATTAGAAGAGTATTCTGCTCTAAATACTTCAAGACAACACATTAAAGAGAATCTATTTGTAGCAGTGTGCTCCTGATCCTTTCTCCATCTGTAGGTTATTTTCAATCTGAATCCCATTGTCCACTGTAAGGTTTGAGAATTCAGACATTCTCCTCTTTTAGACCATGCAGTTTTGGTGAAAATATGTGAACCTGAAGAACTAAGGTGAAGCATGCACATGTCTTCTGGTCTTTTCAAATGTTTACTATACAGACTCAAACGGCTGAATCTTAGAATCAGAGCTACATGGAAGGTTAGCTCCCGCCAATTAATTGAGAAGAGGGAGTAATAGAAGCAATTTATCAGTAGAATTGGGTACTAGTAACTGATCCTCTTCCTTGTAGAATCTTATACTACAATCAGATCCTCAAGTCATTGACACCTGTTGTTCTGATTGTGTGAGTTACACAGTGTAATATCGATCCAGAGCACACTGGTTATGTGGTTTTGTAAAGCAATTCAGAATAATAGTTCTGTGCACATACAGGTATTGTTTAATGGAACTGAAATAGATTTGATAGCTCCATTCACTAAAAAAATGCCAATTCCAATTCATTTCAAATTCAAAAGCTTTGCTATTTCCAATCCATTTCCAAATTCCACACTTGATCACACATGAACTGGAATTGCTCTTTGGATTTCATTGAATTAGTGTCAGAATGTGAGAATTTAATACTCAAGGAGACAAACGCATGAATTCAATCCTTTTCTTACCTCTTTTTATTTAAAAAAGAGTAATATTATGTAAAACTTTGTTTCAGGAGTAGACATTTTCAATCTGAGCTGTCCAGTGTCCGGATTCCATGTTGGAATTCTGTTTGATCTAATTGGCCCCAGAAGTGTTGTAAAGGACTTCACCACTAAAACTGTTAAAAACAAATACAGAACATTTCAGGTGAACTGAACTGTACTGCCATCTTCCTAGTAGCTATTGCCTTTCTAGAAGGAACATAATGTGTAAATTAATGCAAATGGCCTTTCCCTTATTTTAAAAATTAGAATTTGAAGTGGATGGAATTGCTTTGGGTTAGAGAATATTAAAATTGAAAAATTTTCCATGATAAAACAAAGATGCAATTCTTAATGTTGTTAATGCAGTGACTTACTGTATACCAGGCAATCCAATCACATACTTGCTTTTTGAAATTTAATAGTTTGTACCTGAATACCAAATATATATTTACAGACATACTGTACGATGTTGAAAATTGGATTCTTATGCTTCAAGAACTGAAATAATTACAACATCTGTGCTTGTTGTTTCCTTTTGAATTGCATGCAGTATATGTTATCAGATTTTATGCTTAATCAAGAAATAGTAATTAATAAATAATATCAGTACACATGGTAACAAACCACCTTTAATAAATAAATAGCAGCATCACAAAACAAAGTGCCAATGAATGTAAACAAGATATTGTACTTTTGCATTTCAATTGTTCACAAAAATAATAAATTCTGGGAATAAGAACACAACATCTTTTTATTCTAAACACATAGCTACATTAACTAACGCTGACATCATAGTCATGTCCACAAATGGATTTGCATTAACAGATGAAATTTTTCCAGCTTTTTAAAAGGGAATTATGTCTTTGTGTCCAGTTTTCAATTTCTTAAATTAAGTAAATAGATAACTGGAAGTAAATTACATTCTACTATTTTAAACAAAACAATTTTCAAGTTCACTTTTTTAACAAATAGAAGTTCTATGAATGGACACTGCAGAATAAAAATAAAGAATTTTGGATCAGCAAAATTGTCATGTTTTAGCTTCTGAAAAGAGATAATGTCATAATCATAATTAGCCTTATTTTAAGGCCTTATTTTTTCTTTTACTTTTCCCCAAACAAGCAACTTATTTTGTTATATTACTATAACATATACAGGATTATCCAGAAACATTTTTTTTTAATGATAACATTTACAACCTGGTTTGCACATTACTATTGCTTTTAATATTTGGTGTGAGAGGCTTTTGTCTGTGTTGAAAAATAGATTTATAAGAACAATTAAATTAAGTAGCATTCTCCTAATTTCAACAGGATATTTCCAGGTCTAATTTCAAGCTGTATTTTTGCAACTTTCTCCTCTACCTATAAAAAAATGTCTGTAACAGAAGAACCTGTTGTAAAAGCCTTGCTATTTACTGCTTTTAGTTGAGAAATACAGGCAAATAATTCTCCAATCCACCATGATGTGGTGCTGTGATACTGCATTAAGTATGATCTTAAAGAGAAAGTAGAAAATGCTTTAGTTCTGTGTGCAGGCTGAGCTTAAAAATAGTTTCTTGAAGATGACTGCAAAAATAAAACATTGCCTTGGAGTTAGAAGGATTTCTATCAAAGAGAAAAGATTTCAAAGTCTAGGTGATTTTAGAACAATATACTGTCCCTGAATTGCTTTTCTTTAAATTCCCTTTATAGTTTGCCAAACTAATTTTATATTATATATTTACACAGAACAAATAAAATAAACAATTCTATTTATCTTTGCATGTTACATTTTAAAGTAAGGAATGCTTTAAAACTGAAAAAAAACTGTATAAAAGTCCTTTTTCCCATGGATACATTATTTACAATGTGTGGCATCTATGCATTATTGGATACAGAACACCAATCTACTGGAATATCAGGTACAAGCTGGGGCTCAAATGCTTCCCATGCATATTCTCCACTGAAAATAAAAGATGCATTTTTTAATACATTCAGAGTTTGACCATTATACACAGCTGACGTGATCGCTGGTAACATTGCAGCTGTTAATTGACACTTCAGATGTGCCAGGCTGCATCTCTAGGGCCTCGTCAGTATCGTCCAGATCCATGCTGTTGAGTTCGTTGCCATTCCTACAATTGCTATTCAGGTTAACATCTTTACTATACATGGTTGGCGTGGCGACTGGAGCCTGATAAACATTCATAAATGCCTTTTTATTGTTTCGATATTGGCAGCAGATGTAGTTTGAGAAGGCCTGTCGGTAGGTTTTGTTGAAGAGTGTGTAGACCAGAGGATTAATGCCGGAGGACACATACCCCACCCATGCAAACACATTGAGTAACTCCTCCAGCAGGTGTGTGTTGCAGGCATTTTTACAGAGGACATTCATGACATTGGTGATGAAGAACGGGCACCACATCAGAAGAAACAAGAAGAAGACCACCCCTAGGATCTTGGAAGCCCTCCGTTCATTCTTGATGGCCTGCATCATCCCCTTACGCCCATGACCTGGGTCTCTGTTGACTGGGGAATTGAGCTGAGAGGCCCCCTCTGAGCTTTGGATTATGGAGATGTTGTCAGAGGGGGTTTGTGAAGTGTCCTTCTTCAGGCAGTTTAGGCTGCTGCGTCTCGGCTGCTTGGGATGACCTTCATACAGGAAGACATTGGCCTGCCTCTGCAGCACCTGCACCGTCAGGCAGTAAGTGACTACCATGATAATCAGGGGGATGAAGAAAGCCACAAAAGAGCCAATGAGGATAAAGTTATCTTCATTTAGGACACAGCTCCCATTCACAAATACTTTGTCTTCATTGTGAAGGCCTATGACAGGGATAGGCATCGACACTCCTGTAAAAAGAAAGAGGAAGGTGAGTCTTAAGAACAATAATAGGGAAAACTGGGAACTAGATTAGCAAGCTCAGAGATCTCCATTGCTTTTGCAATCTTTATCATATTTTTACATGTCAAAGAATACAATCAAGTATAGTTTAAATTTTGAGTCTCATCAGCAATTATATAGTATAGTAATTTATGTCTCTTCCACACAGAGAATGGTGAACTGATGGAGGAGATTACAGCCTCATCATTACAAAGAAAGATCTCCTCTTCAAGATCCTCATTACAAAAGCCCTAGTTTTTCTTTTACTAAGACACCTGCAAGTAATTTTCTTCCTCGTTAAAATAAAATTTTAAAACAATTTGGCAGTATATATATTGCTATTTACATAGGTTGTACTTTCATTTCATTTAAAACATCTTAAGAAAATTACTGGTAATAATCTTGTCCTTGAGCCATATTTACCTTTTAAATCCAACATCTACATGAAACCTGAGAGTTAAGGGCAAGGCCTTATAGCATGTTGATCTATAATGTGCTTATGTACTCTCCTTCTCTTTACTGCTAATTTATTTTGTGCTACACAGACCTGGTATATCAAAATAAGCAAGCTGGTAAGGTTATATAGTTATACACTCCAGACAAAAATGGACCAGACTCAAACTGAAATGAAAAAAAAAGTTTGATTTGGAAGGTGGTAAGACAATACTGAATGAACAGATGAGGAGAGTTGTAGAAACATTTCGATTACTCAGTCACTATAATACTGTTTTAAGACCACAACAAAAACTGGGGATAGCCCAACTTCTAGCAAGATAACCTCTAGAGTTATCACCTGTAAACAGAAGATGTGGTAGGAGTTATCCAATGTGGAAAACTATATCTTGCCAATTTCAGGCACTGTTTTTATGTATATTCCTTTTTTACTCATGAGCCACAATTACAGAATCTAGACAATGGCATTTCTGAAAAAAACGTGTCATTTTTATGGGGCTTTATCAAAGAGGAATGTTTTCATTAGGGAAGGTGACAGTCCTTTTAGGATGCAAAAGCAAAGACTATCAGCTGTCCTCGATTGCAGCCTCCAAGGTAACGTGTTGTCAGCACATTGACTGCAGAAAAAGCCTTCACAATTTTTAAGGCTTCATCAGAAGTGGTCTAAATCATGGTCCTACTGTCATTTACTATTAAAGCTCTTCCTTTCTATGCTGTCATAAATCATTTTGAGCACTGGAGGGAAATGAATTGAACAGGTTTCCATTGTGCAGAGCATTTATTCATGCACATTGGGAGAGAAAGATTAACGCAACAATGAGCAAAGGGCTGCCAGGTTGCGCACATTTACAGTGTACCAGGTAGTCATTAGTAGAGGCGAAGGGATAGTGAGTGAAAGAATGGAAATGGAAATGACCCCAGGAGTGCTCTCTTCTCTCATCCACATTCACACCAGCTTCTGCCTTACTGAGCACCTGTCCAGCACAGAAAAGGTCTGCAAATCAACACAGCGCTTTCAGAGCATCTGGCGACAACTTTGGAATCACAATAGCACAAGTATGATTTTGTTGTGTATTATGAAGATCAATATTATTTATATAATATATTATTAAGTACATGTTTTCTCAATGAATAGAATTTAAATATATAATATTATTAAATAGCACTGTTTAATTTGTATGTGAAACAAGATTTAACCTGGTGGTGCACAGTGGTTAGCATTGCTGCCATGCAGTACTGGAGCCCTGGATTCAATTCCATACCTGGGGTGCTATCTGAGTGGAGTTTGTATATTCTATTGACTAAAACTAGCCTTGGTGTAAGTGTGTGTGGGTTTGTTCCTGTGTGTGTCCTGTGATAGACCGATATCCCATCCAGGATGTATTTTGCCTTATGCGTGTTGCTTGCTGAGATAGGCTCTGGCTCCCCAGTGGCCCTGAATTGGATGAAGCAGTTAGAAAATGAATGGATAATATTATACTTATTGCATCCTTATTTAATACACTATGAAAACAGTTTGAGAAAACGTAAGGAACAGGTTAATTTTCTGTACCTGCCCATACTGTATAAGACTTTAAATTTAAAATGAAGTCTATTTTAGCGACTGAACAAGACTAGTAAATACCTCTAAGACTGTAACAACTGAATATTCTGTTTCTGTTCTATTTAGATATCATTATATTTAAAGTACGTCTACAAAATAAAAATTATATGTACTTGCAAGTGAGAAAATACTGTTTACCTAAACCCAGGACATTCAGTTACTTGCGGCAACCTGAATTAATTTTTCAGAAAGACAAAGTCAAACCAAACAAACTAAACATACCCAACGTGGCTTTGATAATCTGCAAAACTACTTTCTCTGATGATATTCTACATTAATACGGATTCCCAGGAGCAGCATAAACGCACACATCTCTGAGATGATAAAATGTGAATTCTAGCATACACCTCTGTGGTTTATGTTGCTTGAAAGAGAAAGACACTATTGATTAGGTCTCACACTGTGTCCATAGAAGTATCCTTTTGCAAAAAGTGTAGATTGAACATAAAAGCCATGTTCTGCCCATTTGGTCAATAATCATGAAAAAAATACTTTTCTTAAAGGTACATGATACTTTTTATTTAAACAAACTGACCTAGCTTGCAGAAACAGAATCATATTGTTATGTCCAAGATTAAGCTTGTTATTGTATTATAAATTGGAGGATATGCGGACTGCCACTGTATAGCAGATTAATCCATTTCAAGTTTAACAGCTGCATCCTGTTGAATATTTAAATTCAGTTACCTTATTCTGAGTATAACACACAGAGAGATATGGGAATTAAAATTATATATATTTTTTCCTGTGTAATGAGAATGTGTTTTACATACTGTACATCAATTCAGAACAAAGGGATGACTCATACAGTATATTACCATCCTTGTTTATTGCTGGATTTTCTATGAACTTAAAGAACAGTTAAAACTAATTAATGCTACTAAACATAAAACAGAATAGAATCTGTGAATCAATGGCATGAAAGAAAGATAAAAGTACCTGAAAAGAGAGGAAAATGGTTTTGTCTACAATATTTAATATTCTAAATATCCTAATGTCCTTCAGAAGTTTATGAAAGATGTTTCTGGCCATCAATGATTTGCAGCATTTGTAGAATACAAAATGATAGCGGTAGTGATGGTGGGGGGAGCTGGATCAAATTTTGACAGATTAATTCGAGACGGGATTAGTGAGATGGTCGAGTTTAATGTTTAACTTCAAGATGTATAATTATATTAAAAAATTAGACACATTCGTTAATCAAACCTGTTTTGAGACTCAAACAATGCTGTCTTACAAGTGTCTTGTATGCAAATACAAGAACCAGTTTCAGTTTTCATTGCATCCAAAGAGCTGTCAAGCTGGTGATGCCCCTACTCCATCCCATCATACTATGATCTCTCCTCACTTCTTCCTGTACCCACAATAACTGTACTCCTACACCACTACATGGACGACAACTGAGTATAAGCCGAAATTGTACTTAAAACTGTACTATTGTACTTTTTATTGATTGCCATATTATTTTTGCACTGTTCGCCGTATTACCTTTGCAGCTGTTTTTGTCCTGTTTGTATACTTTTTTCTGTTTGTGTATTTGCACAGTTTTTGTCAATTTTGCACGGGAACCATACTGTTGTTTATACAGTACTGTCATTGTTATTGTATTTCTGTCTATTGTCTGGTCTGCTGTTCTATTTATATACTGCACCTGAGAGACTAATGAGAAACACTTTTCACTATACTATGCCCCTATGTAAGTATAATGACAAATAAAGTTGAATTGAATTGAATCTGACCCTATTTGGTAACGCTTTATTTGAATGTTGCAGTATATTGACGTCATAATCCCTTCATAAGTACTACACAGGACATTACAATCACATGCATAATGCAAATTCCATTCGTTGTAGCAACATTTATAGCACTTGGTACAATGTTAAGCTAAAAAAAGTAATGCCTTCTTTATGCACACATTATGATGTTATGTCATTTGTGCATGCCCTTGCATTATGTGTGTGATTAGAACATCTTGTGAAGCAGTTATAAAGGGATTATGAGGCCATTACATAGCAACATTAAAATAAAGCATTTCTGTTTATTTCTACAATTATTCACTAGCTGGGATGGCACCATGCATTATTTACCAATGGATATGGTCCAGACCGCAGCAATCTTCATCATGGCCTTCGTGCGCGAATTGAAACGGCTGTGCTCAATGGGATTCCGAATGGCCACATAGCGGTCAAGAGATATGGCACACAAATGCATGATAGAGGCAGTTGAAAAAAGCACATCCAGGTAGATCCAAATGGGACACAACTTGTGGGGCAAAGGCCAGACGTTACCTGCAAGAACAAAATGCAACTAGAATTAGACTGGGATCCAGCAAAGAGTCAGTCTCATTTTCATCATTGCTTCTTATTAATAGGGAAGAACAGTCATACCAGAAAAGCATTATAACTTTTTAAAGGTTCCTAGAACTATCATCAGTATTTTTTCTGAGTAAAAGTTGCTAAGACTGATTTCAGATAACCCCAGCAGAGCTGCCATCATGTCACCACGTCTGTGCGACACTTCCACCCCAGAATGAGCATTAGCTTGTGAAATACATCATACAAATACACTTACAGGTCACTCTGAGAGACAGTGTACATGACAGCCAAAACGTAGACATTAGCATCTTCAACTTTTTATCTGATATTCCTAATGTATTTCATTTATATACTTTTATGCAGCTTTTGACAGGTTACAGAATTAGTAAGGCAATTATAAACAGATTGAAAAGGGAACATTCAGTGTCTGCAGGTAAAAGGACATTATGGCCTTGCAGAACTCCAGTAATTCATTTCAAGAACAACTGAAATAAGAGGAAAGTGAAGAAAAAAAAACAGTTCAGAGCTATGCTGCCCTTTTGTGTGGAATAGAATGTGAAGCTGTTATCTTCTATATCCTAAACTGTTCACTTTCTCATTTCTTGCAACATCCCTGTGATCCCTGTGATTATGGCTTCTTAACTGAAATCAAAGGACGCCTACGAATATTACATTTGGATTAAGAATTTTGTCTGGGTAATCTCATAATCTATTGCTGCTACTCTAAGAATAAGTCCTCCATGTATCTGAATTACCAGTCAAGACTACTGTTGTATCCCAATATGACTAGGGTGAGTACTCCACACACTGTACTTTATTTTTTAGCACATGCACAGTATACAGAAAGCATTATCCTTATAGGTAGGTGGGTCTCCTTTTCAGACCGTAAAGGCCCATGGGGAATGGGGGGCAAGGGCCACCATTTTTCTTGACCATCTGACACTGTAGGTGGAGGTGATGTGGTCAGCATTATGCTCCAGCCGGCCTATTACTCCTGGAAGGATTAACCCCCGGTACTCATTTGGAAAGCAGGCTGAGTGGACCTGGGAGCCGTCTGGAAGGAATTAGAGCAAGCTACATCGCTTGCCCCTACCTGCGATTGAACCCAGGACCTTCCTAGTCAGCAGCTAGACACCCTAATCCTTATAACCATTGCTTTTAAATATACTCATACTCATACTTATTTCTTTAATTCCACGTGTATTGTACAGTGCACACTTCACATATATGCATTTCAATTATTTGCAATAGAACATTTTCCAAATTCTTTCTGCTTTTAGTGAAGAAATCAATGAAGGCATTCTTTCTACCAACCTTTTAGAACAATTTAGTTTCAAAATATAATACAGACAGAAAGGAACCCAAAGAGGTTGAAAATAAGAAAATGAAGAAAGGGACTAATTGAACCAGTTATAAATGCAAGAAAAACACATAGCCATATCGTCTAGTTTGCACCACCAAAATATAATATACGGAGCTATGATGCATCTACTGCACTTGCATGTGAATACAACCAATCTCTCACATTTACAGTGAGTGACCAGAGTCTATGACAGGGATGGTCAATAGCTCTCATTAATGACCTGAGGTTCTTAATGAGCTAAATCAGTTTATTATGGGATTAATGGGGCAAGTGTTCGATTTATCCCAGTTCTTTTGATGCCAGTGTTTTGAACAGATGTAGAAAACAGTATACAGTATGAAAAATAACACAAATAGAAGGGCTCAGAAAAAATACTATAATGTGCTTTCCTCTTTCCAGTTTATTTGATGAAGATGTATCTTATTTTGTCTGTTTTCTCCTAGCTTGTGTTTAATTCACTGAGTAAAGTCCAAATATTAAATATTCATATGGTGTAGCAGAGTCAGATACATTTTTCCATCCCCATCCTTTCTTTGAAATTAACTCTGGCTTGCCCTGCCCTCTATTAATGATAGCTGATTCTAGAAACTGACTTGCCCGTGAGAACTTTTGACCACGGATGTCAATCCTATTAAACCCCATTGGCTGGTATGCCATAAAAAGGTTTTTTTAAAACAAATACTGTGCAAAGTGGCTGAGTAAAGTCCATCAGATGAAGTTAGAATAAATGTTTAGAAAATGTATATATACACTACTTCATATGTTATCGGATCCGGTTTCCGGGTTATCTTTTATTAAACTATTGGTCTTTAGGCTTGATGAAGTGAGATGTTCAATGCAAGGATGTATTAACAAGAAACTGCTGTCAGTCCAAATTGGAGTGATTCAACCCCCCAGCATTGCAGAGACCTTAAAATGTGATGGAAATCTGCCTTCAGTGAAATATATATATACAGTATACAATCTCTGCTAGAGTGCAGAAGCTGTGGAGGAACTATAGAGCAGTATTCTGTACTGATGGATCTAAAGAGTTAGAAAAGATTCAATTTAGCACACTTCAGTGCTACCTTGTTTAAGTGGAATCTTAATTTATAAGGAATGTATTAGTCACCATTTCTTATTAACAAAAATGTTAACACTTTGATTGAAGAACATTTAATCATAATCACAGAACTTCCAGTTCATGCATTAGCCTTTCTAACTCACATCTTTGAAATAAATATACTTTATGTCAGAATATAAAAAAAGAAATAAAGTAATTTTACTAAACGTTCTCTTCTTAAATAGATAATAAAAACTTACCAATAATACCATAAACCCTGCAGAAAGGCTGGTGGATAGGAACTGTAAGACTAAAGCACTTCAGAGTGGTAGCTCTGATTAAAAACCATTAGACTAACACTGGGAGGCCTTGAGTCCATATTACATAGGAACTAAATGAGTTTTCCACCTGAGCAGTTCATGTCATTGAAATATCACAGAAACTCTTTTATAAAACACATTTTTCAAAAACTGTTCATGACTACCCACCTGTTGTTTTGTAGAACACATACTGTAGGAGTGAAATTAATTTCCTGCACATTCTTATATTTTTGCTGGAGTTATTGAATTACTACTTAAAATATCATTTGTCATGCTACAGTATGTAGCTATGTAACTGTTTTATTAAAATGATTAAGGACTTAATTTAAACTACTGCCTTGTTTTAGAGGAAAATACACAACTTTATTCCCTTTTGTATGATGGGTGGGGGGTTGGTTATGTTTATCTGCTGAAATGCTACTACCATACATACTCCAAATAACAAGGAAATTACAAACAGTACACAAAAAGTTCCTTTCTCATAAAGTATACTGTACATCTGACTGCTCAAAAGTTCAAACTTTTTGTTTTGTGCCAAACTGCTTTTCTCAAGCATTTTTTCTCCGAAACATAGTTTCATTATTCTATGGGGGAAATATTCTTATGTGAATACTTATTGAGTCACGTAGTGACTTAAAGACAGTCAACAGCAATGAAAATCACAAGTATTTTATATAACAATAAATTCCCTTGGTGTGTGCTTACTGTAAGTACTGCAAGGGAATAAAACCGAATTTACCTACTGTTGAATGCAGATTCCTCTGTCATAACATAGTACTGCCATGAAACTGTGAAAGAGGCACACAAATACGTGACTTTGAATGGACATTAGATTCTTTTTAAGACTTGTGGAGAAAAGAATGTTTAGAATAGTTTTTCACAATGCAATTATAGATTTTCCATTTTTTAACTGTCTCTTATTTTCTCTTTTGGAATCAGATAGTGACTGGATTGATTGATCCTACCAAAGCAAATGAACTGGGTAAATCTTTTACTGCTACAGCCTTGCCAATATGCTGTTGGATTTCAATACAACATCAAGTTGTACTTTGATATTTACCTGTAAATCTAGCAGATGATACGTTTTGTCCCACTTGAAGGCAGCAATGTCATTTTTCGGTAATGTATATTTCTGCGGTATTTCAACAAAAAATCTTTCTACATAGAAAACCCAGTGTTATGGAATATCTTTTTATATGAAGATCAGTCATTCATACTGATAACTATCCATCCGTTTTCTAAACGCTAAATCCAATGTTGGTTCGTGGGGAGCTGGAGCCAATTCCAGCAAGCAATGAGCGCATGGCTGGATACAGTACACTCTAGATGGGACATCAGTCCATCACAGGTCACATACAGACATAGACTGTAAGGCACATACTTACACCAAGGACAGTTTTCCCATACTTCTTAACCTACCAGTATGTAATCTTTGGATTGTGGGAGGAAACCAGAGCAACTAAAGCCCATGCCAACATGAGGAAAATGTACAAATTCCACACAAATAGCACCCCAGGAACTGAACCCAAAGCTCCAGCACTGTGAGGCAGCAATGCTAACCACAGTAGCACCCATATACAGATATCCACACAATTAAACAATAATTCCGATGTGCTCAAGCACCTATAAATTGTAATGAAAACAAAAAAGGAATTCTTTAAATGTTCACAAAGATTATTCATTAAATTAACTATTTCTGCAACTACATTTGAGGGGCAACTTCAAAAGGTTATGTCCCTTCTTGAGCGTTATTTGCAACTGTTGCTTCTGTATAACTTGTATGAAGGAGATCAAAAATAGTATAAGGATATTTATTATATTATTGAAAAGATGCTTTGATTCCCGAGCTGTGAAAATTGGGTATCAAATGGTACTGTGTTTGCAAAAATATTTCTGAAATCTTTCATAACTACAGTGCCAATAATGACTGTTTTATACAAACTGTTCCTTAACCTCCAATTTTCATACTTACCCTGCTTCTGAGAACAGTTCAAATAATGGATTGAGTATATCATATTATTTAAGTTAATTTCTTTTTTAAGGGCAGATAAAAAATAGGCTGTTACATTGAAATGTAAAATACATGTCCTGTGGTCTTTTAAATTGTGTGCAATAAGTCAATACACTTACTTTAGCAAAGGGGATCACAGTAGTCACTACCATATTTTGCAAAACTACCTCTCAGTAGGATGGTGGAACACTGCTTGATTTGAGACTGTATAAGAATACTATCATGTTTGTGAACCAT